TACTGCTATCCCATTGTCCCTAGTGTACTTATATGAAAGTGCAAAGTGGTTTCCAGGAAGATTTGGTGTTATCCTCTGCAAGTGTCTGCCATTCCTGGCCTTTATTTCTATTGGTTCATCTGTCCTTACGTTGACAGTTATGACCTTTGACCGCTATCTGGCGATTGTGCACGTGATGAAGAGGCCATTGTCTCTAAAACTGACTCTAGTGGCGATTACCTTGACTTGGCTCGTTTCGGGCTTGGTGTTTGCCAGTGAAATTTACAAGTACAAGCTTTATAATGAGTCAGGTCAAGTCATATGTGCTCCAAGATGGGTGGAAGATCTTCTCGCTTCTCATAAAATAACAATGTACGAAATGATTGTCCGGTTTGTCCTGTTCTACCTCATTCCACTCCTCGCCATGACCGTACTCTATTCAAAGATTGTGCTGCATATGTGGAGAAGAAAGGCACCTGGCGAGCACATCGACAAAAACCAAAAACGAATCGAAATACAGAAACGCAAAGTGATTTCTATGTTGGTCACCATTGTAACAATTTTTGCCCTATGTTGGCTTCCAGCGCACGTCAATCACTTTCTGGTGACGTTCAACTTTGAAGCCTTCAGTTGTTTACCGACCTCGTTGATTCTTACATTTTTTCTTATGACGCATGCCAACACTGCTATCAACCCGTGCCTTTATTTCATATTCAATGAGATTTTTCGTGAAGGATTTAAGCATCAGATTTATCACAGGCTCAGTGGACGTTTTTCAAGTGGAAGTGATCGCTTGTCTTCCATAAGAGCAGAGGCCATCAGCGGAAGTGCTACCGCTTCTCGCATTACACTTCTTGGAAGTAAACGAGGAAGCACAAGGGAGGACATGTATCATGAGAGTGATACTCTAGTTTGACTCAGCACAAGCATTGCCCCTAATTGACTAGAATAAGGGTAAAGTGGAAGCATATTTCAATTTTTTATTCGCTTTTTCTTTCGAAGATTGAATGAGCAGATTTGCTTCTAATTAACAGCAGTAACCTATAAGTGTATTTGTACACTTTTCCGTTTAAGTAGCATATACTGATTCATTATATATTGTTAAATGCTCGAGGGACCTTGATTGTAAATTTTAAAAAAAAACTGTTTCATAAGGAGTCAGGCACAAAAAAACATGAGTATTATCTATTGAAACATGTTATAGAATAGGTGATTGAAACTGTAAATAAAACCAAGCTGATTATCAAGTGCGAATTGATTGTTCATCGCTGATGAGGTCCCTTACTACTCAGTTACTATACAGATAAATACACTCATACCTTTATCTGGTACAAGAACTTTACAGATTATGTAAAAATGCATCTAAAAGTAATTCCTAAGCTAGAGTTAATAGATGTATATTTAAATATGATACAATTTTCATGTTTGTTAATATCAAACTATGTTATCTTTGAGGTTTATTTCTGATCGCCGTCTTTTATCTAAGAACATGCGAAAGTTAAACTGGAAAAACGAAAGGAGAGGTAAAGCTACTCTTCTAGATTGTGTAACTCTGATATTGTTTTGTAGGGTTGTTTGGTTGTCTTTTTTCCGTCATTTTTTTCAGTGGTATGGTTGAAAATCAATAGCGAATTGTGTTGCTACGACTCACACGTCTCCCTTGACAAATTTAGTGGAAACTACGATAACTGGGTGATCAATAATATTTTCATTGCCCTCCAATGTACTACTTACTGTTTGCTTTTTCACAGAGTTTTTTAAATTTAACCTATATTTAACCCATTTGTATCTCCGTTAATATATAGAGATTCATAACTTTATCTATTTCGAGAGTTGCTTTTATTTCAGTGCTAACCCTACATTCAGGTGATAAAGTTCCTGACTGACAATATTCTATTCGTGTTTGACCTCAAAAACGGTAAGTGGCGTCGTGTTATCCCTCTTGCTCCACTGAACAACCGAGTACATCCTTGCCCTTCTGCGTGGTAAGCATCCATTCCTGCAGGTCTTGTTAATATTGGAAGAGGGTATATAATTCCCTCTGCACAGACTGTGAAAAATGACCCAGAAAGATTTCCTAAATGAGTCGTTCAACAGAATGACTACACATGGATTTAGAGCACTATTAAGATGTGAGACCCAAAACAAGAATAGTGGGAGAGATGGAGGCAGAGACATGTATATTTCTCCATAAAAGTATACCAAGATGTGTATTACGTGAACCGGAAGCCAACACACAGTAAACAGCACTACGATAACGATTAACATTCGCATGACGCGCTGGTGGCGCTTTCTGAAAGTGTCGGACAGGTGTTCTGCCGGCTGATCACTGCTAAGAGCTGTCTTTGTTCTGTTGAGCTTTTTAATAATCAAGCACGATAATATAGCAATGATAAACAATGGAACAACATAAAGAATAGCGGCCACTGAGGAGAAGAAGAATTTCGGACCATACTCGTTGCTGAATAAAGGTTCCCAGTCCATGACACATAGAGTAACCCCGTCTATAGTGTATGTATCGTGAATATAAAGATAAAAACTCATGAACAAGGCGGAGAAAACCCATATGGCAGCGGATAACAAAATAGGTCTCTTTATGAACGACGGATACAACATGGGCCTCACAACAGCCATGTATCTTTCCAAGGAAATCGTCAACAATGCAAATATGGATACAGCAATTGTAGTACCAACGACAAAATTAATAAATTTGCAAGTTATAACGCCAGTGACACCTGGGAACCATTCTTGTTGCACGTATAAGTAACAGATGGTATAGGGCATCACAAATAGGGCGGTAAGAAGATCCGAAACTGCCATACTGGATAAAAGAATCGATACGGTAGTCGGAGGACGTCGCAACCTAATTATGCGGAGTAGAATCAGGTTTCCCAGCAGAGCGGTTATTAACGTGACAGAATACACGACCGTGAGACTTATCTGTAGAACTTCACCAACGTCATATCCATACCAAGAGGCTTCCAAGGAAGCATTTTGACTCCCTGAAGAGTGTAATGAAAGAATTAAATGTACTGAATTGAATAAATTCAGTTACAAAAACCCGTTTTAGAAATTAACACATCCTTGACTGAGAAAAGGTAATCGGGTATCTTGAAAACAATATCCGCTAAAAAGATAAATAAAATGAGTAAAATGCAAAGCAACTCTTTCAACGGGAACTATTATACATGTGCAGTTAATATGGAGGAAATATAATTTCATCCCAATGTTTACTCTCACAGCCATGTTTATGTCTTGACAGCCTTTCCATTCCTTACGTAGTAACCTGTTTTCTTCGCTATCCTCAAAGGATCCGACTAAGATAAATATCCGATCAAAACAATTTCTCACAGCTTTCATTCAGATTTAACTTGAAAGCCGGAAACGAAGAGTACTCAACCAAAGTTTTTTGGAAAAAAAATTAACTTGGACCATCATCATTTAATTTTACTAAATTAAAATTTTGTTGTTCTGGCTCACTGAGTTACCATGCGATTTTAGTAACATATCTATAAAGTGACTATGCGAGACGAAAAAGCTCTGCGTTATTTATCATCCACGGTCATCCTTTTTAGAAAGTAAAATTATCCACGATTCAAAACAAAATAAGTTTCAAAAATTAAAACGCGCTATGATATCTTTTGAGTCTAAGGTATCATTCCCTATCCGATTATATTTTGTATTTGGGATTTCTCGCCAAAGAATCGCAAAAAAATAGAAATTCCCTTCTTAAATATTTCTCTTTTATCCCAAGTTTTACTTACCGTTATTTACAGTTTCGTTCAGCATGCCTTTTTTTTAGATCCGAGTAGTTCGTCACCTAATGTTCTCTTAATAACTGTATTGTACACCAGTAAATCGTGAAACTGGGGCGTGTATATTTGCATCTTCTTTTAAATGGAAATAAATGCAGATTCGATTTATGACGGGAAAACAAAACCATATTAATAAATCGTGTGACGTCTAAAAGGACTTGCCATTTATCAAAAGCTTTTTTCATTAAACAAGACCAATCTGACAATACGTTTTGTCCTCTTCCAGTTTATTTAAAATCAGCCATGCACAATGCTACTAATTAATAAAATTTGTGAAATTGGATTGGTAAAAGACCAAAGATAACAAAATTATTACTGACATGTCGTTCTGCGAAATTTGGTGGTCCATTGATTAGCAGGTTTCGACACCTATCAGGTGAAATCTTCAAAAACAGCGCTAATGTAGAGGCAAACTCTCAACTCGAATATTATGTCACTGTATTCGAGAATCGAATATGTTAGCAGAACATATTTGAATCATAGCACGGTGCGGTAAAGTTGAACTTTAGAGTGAATTCGTCAGAAACCTCTCGATTCCGTTGTTAGTACTGGTACCAAATGTATATTAACCTATGTTCAACACGTAAAGAAAACGAAACTGCAAAGTCCTTTTTAATTACTATTATTTAATTTTTACACGAAGAAGCAAGTCTTAACAATTGAAAAAAGTAAAAATAAATAAAGAACATGACGTGACAATGTGAAAACAATTGTTTACCTACACCTGCTCTCACTTATCAAAAGCGATCTCTGAGCATGTGTTGAGAGCGATTTCGTTTCTTTAGAAAAACTGAGCACGGGCGTTAAGATGTTTTCATGTGATGTTCTGTCTAAATTAAAACTATTTAATGTAAAACTAAAACTTCTTTTAGACAGAGTTCGAATTCAGGGGAGAGTTTTGCTTTGCTCAAATTTACAGCAAACTACCTTTGCAACGTATTAGTTCGATACCAGTTAGCAAAAGTAGACCTCATTTCATACCTTTTGTCAATCAACAGCCAATGAAGAACTTTCGGAGCGGAAAAACTTTAACGGAATATTATTTGGTTGTGGTCTGGGTACCTGTTGATGTCAGGCGTGAAAGGCAGCAGTGCAAATATAACTGTGAATCTTTAAAAAGGTATTGAAACTTTTCGTGTATATCATTATAAAAAACTAGATTTCCCACAGTTATTATTCAGAGGTAAATGAAGACTGAAAAAAATATTATCTCACAATTTGGTGGCAAACCAATTTAATGAATTTCTACAACAATAAGTAAATTTTCGCGTCTGAAATTCATTCAAATGAGGAGATGAGGTTTTTGTTTTCGTCCAGGTCCACGAAATAAAGCTTTCAGAGTCTGTTAAAAAAAGAAAAAGATAAGATTAGTGATTAAAGCAGAGTTAACTCACTCGAAGTCGCCTGTTTAAACATGATATGCCAACATCTTTTTGTATCTTGTTTTATTCAAAGTGAAGTTTACCCTGCGCTTTTTTATCTTTTATCGTGGATGACACGGGTTCATTAGGACATGGAGAGATTTGTTGTGATATTTATACAGGCAACTGAACTCAGACAGACTGACTACTTTTCGATCGACAACTGGTACAAAGTGCAACCGTGGTAATAATTTTTATGCATATTTTCAACAGAATTTCGTCGTTATTTGTCGCTCAGGCGTTCATCTATCAAGATAGAAAACCTCTTTCGCTAAGGAAAGTAAACGTAATGAACATCGTTAGGGAAATTCTTTAAATCGATTTTTGTTAACTCTTTATTAGTTTTGGTGCTTCCTTTTAGATTTAGGGACAGCGTTGTAATAAAATCGCTGTTTTGTTTTTCTCAAAAAATATGTGCATGTATAAGAAAAATAAATTTTAAAAGATAGAACAGATAATGGTTCATTAGGGAATGGGTGCCAATCGCGAAATTCGTTATGTAATTGCATTGAATGACGAGTTTATACTGCTAGATAAGTATAAAAGTTTAATAAAATTTTCCAATATATAATCACACCACAAGAAATGCAACGAATAATTTCTGAAGTCTGTTAACTGGTCTAATTATCTTCCTAGGAAACATCCTCTTACTACACCTTGAAATTATGGCTATTTATAATTGAAAGCAAACTTACAGTAGCTGTGATGCAGACTATTTAAGCACTATGAGCAGGATTATGGTTAATGCCACGCTAATTCCAAGAAGTACAACGAAAACGAACATCATGGTACGAATCATTTTTTCCTGTAAATAAATAAAAATGGACATTAATTTCTATTATAATATCAAGAGCTGCAAATAGATAATAGGCCTATCGATAGCAAATAACAATTTTACGAGGAAAATGACAGTCGGAAAATTCGTAGGCTCACTGGTCTTGGGCCGTAGATTTCCATACCCTAAACCTCGACGGAAAAACGGTTTAGTCTTTGGACAAAGCATCACGTGCCACGTGTTTGATAGTCTTCATCAGTGAGTGGAAGCACATGAATTTTTTGTAATCACGTGCATGGAATTTTTATGGACTAGGGACCACTTGTTACCAATCGCGCAGGAGAAAAGAGAAAAAAAAAAAAAAGGTGAAAAATTAAAGGAGAAGAGTTTACAACAGAGGGCATGCTTGCTTATCGAAAAACTCACCCTAAGAGAGCTAGCTGCAATCACAAATACCAATAATTTTACAAGCATCGCAACCACAATTAGATGCTGAGTTAACCAGGAAATTGGTCAGGCTTCTTCATCTCTACCCTCTGCTACGGCTGCTAGACAAAGGCCTTTTTAATACAAACAGTGCCCGTAATATGCAGGTAATAGTAGCCAGTTTAAACGAAAAAAGCAGAGTCACTAGAGGATGTTATTCACGAGTCGGTAGAAAAATGCCTCCAAGAGACTGCCAATTAAAGACGCGTTGGGGGACGAAGCTGTCACAATAAACTCTTGTTGATATATGATATAATTCTTACATCTGTTGTTGTTGTTTGAACAAGAAAACTCAGCTGAAAGTACGAGATTATCAAAACGGTAAACAAATGATCCAACCGCTTCTAATATTTTTCTTTTTTTTTTTTTCATGCCTCTTCCCCCCCTTCCTTAGTGCCTGTCATTTAAGGCTGATACGCCCTCTGTTCCCTTGAAAGTCATGTGATCCCCCCAACATCC